ATCTGTTTTATGGATTCCATTTGTTTCTTATGTTGGGATTCCATCATGTTCCTCAGCTCTTCTCTAGATTTATTAATCATGTCTTGCACTAGGGGCACAGTTTCTCCTGTTATTTGTAAAATTATTTCTGATTTCATTTTTTCCAGATCCCCTTTTGTTGCCAGTTCAGTGTGTCCAGGTTGTTGAGTATCAGAGTATTCCATCTCATTTCCCTTTGGGGTTGCTGTAGGTGATCTGGAAGTCTGGTTTTGAGATTTATTTATGTGTTTTCTCATTTTGACTGGGGTGTCGGGGGGCTGTTGGCACCTGCATGGATTACCTTCTCTGAGCTGGGAGAGGTGGGACAGGGGTCAGGGGCAGCGGTAGGGACGGTGGCCCAAAAGTCCTTTCCTGTGGGCTGGGATCAGCGGGAGAGATGGTGGCCAGGAAGCCCCTTCCTCTGGTCCAGGAGAAGTGGGATGGTTGCCTGGAAGCCCCTTCCTCTGGGCCAGGGGCGGCAGGACAGAAGGTGGCCCAAAAGCCCTTTCCTCTGGGCTGGGAGCAGAGGGAGTGATGGTGGCCGGGAAGCCCCTTCTTCTGGACCAGAAGCAATGGGACAGTGGCTCAGAGGCCCCTACCTCTGGGCCAGGAGCAGCGGGACTCAGTACCGTGTTCTGGTGGTCCGGTGTCCTCTGTATCTTTGTAGTGTGGAACCAGGTGGCTGGTTGTGTGGGGGGGTCCAGTCCCCCATCCTTAATCATTGTTTGGCCTCCAGAGCTCCTGACTCCTCTCTGCAAGCTTGCCTGTCTCCCAGTAGTTCACTGACAGTGAAATGCATCACCATCTTCCACATTTCTCAAATCCCTGTCTAGACAAACCTGCCTTTCTCTTATTTCCCAGGTCTACTACATACACACCTTCTACTAACTGTACCTCTAAGATACTTATTAATCCCTACAACTTCATGCATGGCCACTGCCTCCACCCCAATCTAAGTCCTCATCAGCCCTTACCAGTGAAATAGAATTCCACCTCTGAGAGTTTTCTAGCCTCCACTCGATGCCCACCCTGAAGCTATTCTGCACAAGGTATCTAGAGGTCATCTTGTTAAAAAAAAAAAAAAAAAACAACCCAGAATCTAACTGTGTGGTTTCTACCCTCACTTTCACCAAGGAACTTGTATGGTGGTTGTGGCCACAGAAGAGTTGATATACAGAGGCTATGTCTGATTTCTTCAGTTATCTTTTTAAAAATGGAAGACATTCTTCACTTGCCTGAGTTGAGGGAAAATAGCCTATTTTTAAAATTAAATTATAAGTCTTGGAAGCTGCTGTACCTTACAATTCCTTGCACAGTAACTGTGCCTCTGTATTGAGGAGAATCTAAAGTGCTACTGTTTGAAGGAAACAATTGCAGCAGATACTTGACTTATCCAGGACAGAGATTCTTCAATTCCATGTGTAGCAGTGTACATTGGATGCTTTTCAGTATAAGGGAGGGAAGTAGCTTTGTGTATAAAGCAAAGAGGGAAAGACTCCTCTGTGTCAGAGTTGCTCCTAACTTAATTTAGCAAAACCACACCTTCATCTCAAAAGATCTTGGACATTGTGATGCTCACAAGGCTCCTTTCTGATTTGTTCCTCAAAGGAGGAGAGTCTGGTGCTTGCCTTTGCAGTTCTTACCTTCCAGACCTGGTCTATGGTTCCAAAAGAGGCTCAGGGTACTGACAACAGGACACTTGAGGCAGAATGAACCTTGATCTATAACCAGGTGTCCTACTAACTTTTCTCATTGCTGAGAAAAAAATACTCAACACTCACAAATTAAGGGAGGAAAGGTTTATTTAGCTCATAGTTTGTAGAGGTTTCAGTCCATAATCAGCTGGCTCCAAGACAGGGTGACAAAACAGACAGGCATTGCAGAGGAGAAACAGTTCATGGCAGGCAAAAGGCAACAAAGCAACAAGGGACAACCACAGTGTTTTCCATCCCTTATATCTTATCCAGACTACTTAGGGTGGGTAGCACTCACACCCTAATCCTAGTGGCCTTAATCCTACCATTGCACCATGAATCAATCCCAGCATCACACATGCTAGATCCAGTCACCTCTGAAAAAGCCCCACCTATGACCACATGAGGCTTTAGGGGGACATCTAGACACAAGCTGCAACACCAGGGCTGTGCATATATACCACATAAGCAAATACATGACGTGGAAGTGATTTCTTAAGAGATGAGACACTTGCCTATAGCCAACCACAGTGCTGCCTCCAATAAAGGACTCTTGTTTCACTTGCAGACTGTGATTTCCTAAGCCTCTGATGAGAACCTGAGGATGATGTGGAAATTATCCAAACACCACCTTCCACAGACTTATGTAATAAGGAAGCTCAGAGGGCCTGACCTGGGACACACACAAGGATTCGTGGTGACTGTGGCTACTCCCCACCAGGCATAGGGCACAGGAAGTTAGGCCACTTGGAAAGGCACGGTGGGGCTTAACATTCCCTGTCCCACAGAAGCAGAAGGTGACACCAGAATCAACAGGCTTCTGTGACGCAGATGGTGCTGTGCATGCGTCCATGTTCTGAACGCCACCCACATGGTACTGAGACATTCACTGTCCATGTGTCCCCTTCCCTTGGTTTCACCTTTGGTGAAGCAGAAGTAAGCAGAAAGTACGGAGATCGACAATGGTGGGCCTCATGGTTTTCTTGTTATATAAATATATTTAATCTGCCACCTTACATTAATTTACTGAGTAATTGGTATTTTTACTTAGTTGTATTGTGAGGCATGTATCTATATGTGTGTATATGTGCATATAAACTTTTCCAACTGATTTTTTAATGGTACCCTTAGATCTCAGGGAAAATTATAGTGAGATCTATAACAAAATATTTATGAATTAGACAAAAAAGACACTGTAGATAACAGACTTTTGAGACTCTTCTCTATGGCTCTTCAACACTCTGATATAAGTATAAACTGGTTGAATTTAGGAAAAAGAGCCCATTAATATTCATATAAGCTTTGGAGGTTTGGAGTTGCTTTCCTCGTATTATCTTTCTATGCTTGATCTCATAGCAATGCTGTCTGTGTGGATGGAAGGCACTGAAGTCCCTCCACCCAAGTTGTAAAAGCCTTTCCTAACTTTTATGGGAATTAAAACCAGTGCATCTGGAATGGGCACATGTGGAGATGCTCTGTCATGCACTGTGCCATATCTTCTGATGCTACCTCAATATGCTGTGTCCTAGGGGCAGCAGAACACAGAGGGGCACGCACAGCAACCTTGGACAGCCACAGAGAGGAGACAGAACCAGCCAGCCCCAGCCAGCCTTGAGGCAGTTACCTTGTGCACATTACTTCACCTGGTGCCAATGAAGTACAACTCAGCTCCTTCTGGAGACCAGGGAAGATGGAGGTGTGGACAGGCGCCTGCTGGGTGTGTGGTCACAGAGAGCAGGAATCTGAACATCCACCTGCCTGACTCCAGAGCAGGTTCTGGGATTGTGTCCTGGCAGCAGGCAGCACCCTGCCCACATGGGCAGCCATGGGGACATCTGCCCCACATCCTCAGTGACCATCACCACCCCTTTCAGTTATCCATTCTGTTGCCACAGTTTGACCTTTATGACACCTGCACTTCTGGAATGTTCCATCTAGGAGTCTGAATTACTCACCCTACCCAGTCACCTTCCAAAGTATGAACTCTGGACACCAGCTCCTGGGAGGCAATGATGTCGACTCCTGAGCTTTGAAGGATGAGTATCTGAAGGATCAGGTAGATCAGTCCACTGCAGGCTCTGCCCTGCCCTCTCCTTCATTGATTTTAAAACATTTTACATTACTATGTAACTTTTTCTTCATATAATTCAACCTCCATAAATTTTCAAGCTACTTTTGGCTAGAAACTGGTGTAAATGTTTACATGTAGCTGTAGCACCTAGAACAGCACCCAGATACCTTGTAGAAGTTCACTAATTGTTAAAACTTCTTAAGCAATGAAATGAGAGTGCTGTGCCATTCTTTTCCTGATAACAGTTCACATAGTGAACTTGATTGTTTGGCTGAATTATGTTGGGTCTGTGAGGACTCAGGAGCGAGGAACTCATCCACAGGCAGCATTGCTGAGTTGGGCCCTGGAGCAGGTTGTGCAGTTACTGGTGGGTTGTGTGGCTGCACTGTGAAGATGAGGCTCTTTTACCTGATACATTTGCTGAAAGCAGAGAGTACAGTTTCATCTCATTTCAATGTCACTATCACTAGTGACATTTACTTCCTACTCTGTGATGATGAGGAGGAAATCTACTGGGTCTGGGCTGGGAGGAGGATGAGGAAGGACCAGGCACCCTCCAGCTCTCTTAAGTAGCCAGCCACCAGCCAGGCTGTGAAGAAGCCATGAGGAAGTCACTCTTGGTGTCCTGTGGTCAGTAGAGGGGCATCCAGTCCTTGCCACCTGTACTGAGTCCCGATAGCTCTCTAGGTGGCTTGTTCACACACATGTACATGCACACACACAGCTGTGCATGCCCTCATTGATTTCCTGGTCATGGTTCTACATTCAGAAAGACACATTACATCCACACCTTTGAGGACTCCCCTGTCACCCGTATCTCTGTGAGAGCAGGCATTGTAGGGCATGTTTCTTCACTGACAACCCCAGAAGAGAAGATACCTGTCATACCCTCTTAACAACAACTGTCCTGCGAGAATATGGGTCCTCATTCCTCTTCCCTGGGCAGATTGGTGTGGCCCTCTCCTCAGAGGAGCTGCTAGCTGGGAGAGGGTGGATGTCAATCAGTAGAACTGCTGAATGATTGAAAAGCTTTCATAAGGAATACTATGCAGTTCAAGATTTAAAAACCTCAGGAAAACATAATCATGCATATTTATAGTCTGGGGCCAGGAACACAGTAGGTATCCAATTTTACTTTAGAATCCTATGGCTGGATTGAAGCCACAAACACTTGAATCAGATGAATCTTTCTCAAAATGTGGCTTGTTATTCTCTGCAGGAATAAATGTGTATATAAGGACCAAAATGTATAATAGATATTGGGAAATGGGAATAAAATGTCTAAATGAGAAGGGAAACAAGGGAGGGGGAAGGGGAAAGGAAGGGAGGGACAAGAAAAAGGGACAGAAGGAAAAAATGGAAACAAAACTTTTGTAAATAAGGAGGGGAAGGGGGTAGAAAGGAGGAGAGGGGAAGGGTAAAAGAGGAAGCAAGACATATGTACAGGTACAATTTCCCTGTGATGAATATTATCAATATGTGTATCTAAAATGTACTAATGAAAAAAGAAATGGAAATGAGAAGATAATAGCTGAAGAGTCAGGCCCCTTGCTAGGCTCCAGGGATCTCTCCTCATTCAGGGCCTCCCTGGTGGGCATCAGGGTTGACAGAGGTGTGGTCAGACATGAGGTCAGAATGGCCTCAAAGCTGTCAAAAGACTTTGGGACTAACATGAATTCAGAGGACATTTTGAAGCACATGCGAAAAACTAGCTTTCAGCTATAAGTTTAAAAAATTCATGGGTTCCTGAATTTGTACAGTTTTGCAATTTTGAGATCAAAATGATTCATTATGAAATGTGATTTAGAATATTATCTGTTTGGTCAAAATATTTCACAACAACTTCTGTACTTTTTAAAATGAATCTTTTATTTCACACCCTCCTCTGAATGTTCCTCTACCTCCAGTCTCCAGGAATTCCTCAGAGAAGCATGCACACCAGCAGCTTCCAAGATAGTCTCTCCAAGAGACCCTTCTCCACCAGATGTTGTTTGGAAGGCTCATTTTCCATTTTAAAAATTTAGGTTGAATATAATATTCTTGTGCCTGTGACACTTTGGTTTTTGTTTTAGTAGTAATATTTAAGTTACTTGGACTTAAACATAGGTCAGGTTCCTGTGGTTTCATCTCCTGCAGGTCCCTGTCTAGCAGCAGGAAGCTGAGCAGACAGGAAGTGTTTCTGTCCATCAGCAAGAAGACTATCAGGAGCTGCACTTTGGAAGGTGGAGATGCCAGTGCTTGGATCTGCAGGCTTACCACCTGCCCTCCCAGCTCTGCTGTTCTGGTCAAGGGTACCCAGGGAGAGGTCCTGCTCTGAAGCTGTGTAGGGACCTGGCTATCTCTTCTCTGTCTCTGTCACCCCTCACCTTCCTGGACTCTGCTGGCTGAGGAGGAAAGAACCTTGGATCTGCAGCCTCTGGTCATGTTCACTTTGCTCTTCCAGCCTGTGGCAGGAAAGACTGGAGATACCACCTGCTTCTCTCTTGTAAAATTGGAGGGAGGTTTAGATCCATATTGAAGGGCCCTCCAGATTCAGCTCATGTGCTCCACTCTGTGCCTGCCACACTTCAGCTATGTAGACTTCTACTTTGGGAGGGAACTTTGTGGATTCTCAGGTCAGCCAACGGAAGACTGGGCTTCATAGTATGAAGACTGAGGCCTGCAACAGTGTGCAGAAAGTGGGTTCATGGACTGACTGGAACACACCCTCGCTGATACAGAGTACAGATAGAAGGGAACTGCTTTCCGCAATGCTGCTTCCCTGTCCATTTCCTCCTTAGTGTGTGATGAATTCCAGATGGTCAGCTTGGGAGGTGTCCAGGGCACACATTTGGAAGTGAGACTCACCTGATCATTGAGCAGGAGCATTTTCCTTGGGACGGTAGATAAGTGCAGGCCATGTTACATGGAGCTGAAACCATGCATGTTGCTGGAGAGTGAGGGAGGGGAGAGAACAATGCCCCAGAACCCAGTCACGTTCTCTAGGTTGGGTGCACTGCTGAGCTTAGTAGTGTAATCCCATTCAGATCACATCAAATTACTCAAAGTATTTGTAATTATTTAAAGGAGAAATGATATAGAATCTAACAGCAATTTTTAATTTGCTGCCAAATTTATGACTGGAATCAAAAGGTTTTGAGTCTCTCTCTCCCCTATAACCTCAGCCATGTCTCCCTGCTGGGGTCTTCTGAGGTGTGGGACTCAAGGATGTGCTCTTCCCTGAAGCCCGACATCCCTGCTGTGGTCTCGCTGCCCCTCCAACTCCTCCTTGAGCACAGCACATGGACCTTCTGTGTTCCTCTGGTGCCCACTCCACCTTTCATTTCCCATCCCACTCATGTCTTTGACCTCTTGAACTTGTTCCCACTGTGCCTTGTGCCCTGGGCCTGGCCTGACTGCACCTGTCCCCCATGGGCTCCACATCTGTGGGGCTCAGCTTTGGGGACTTCCCAGAGACCACTTCTTGGCCACCTAGTGATGTTTCCTGTAACTCTCTGCCACATTGCCCAGTGTCATTGCATCTGTAGTGCTGATCATTGTCAGGAAATACTGCATTTATTTATTTTATTTCCTCCAGCATAGTCTCACTAGTTCCTGTGTTGTTGATTTTATCTTGATCAGCACCACAGCACTGCCTGTTCAATTATCCAGCCACTGCTGGCAGTGATTTTCCCATTGTCTTCTTGGCATTGCTCCAGCCAAACCCTGGAAGAGTTTCCATCAGTTACAGGGGGTTCTGTCCTAAAATTCAAATGTATCCCTCCCCTGCCAAAACTTCACTCTCCCTGCTGCCAGAGGATCTCACCAGCACAGCACTCCCCTGACCCCAGGGAGTTGCTTTCCACCAGAATGACAGTGCCACCACCATGTTTGTCTCCAGCTCTGCTCCCCAGCCCGGCATTCTCCTGGACTGGCCTCATTCTCCTCCAAATCCATCCCAATACGCTTCCATTTGAGCCCTGATCACTTGCTCTTCTAGGAAGACTCCCTAGGCTCCTCCCCTCTTCCCTGGGACACCTGCTGCAGGTTTCCTGTTTCCTCTGAGGCCTTGGCCTCAAGGTCTGTCTGTGTGCTGCCCCATCCTCCTCCTGGGACAGAAAGCTCGAGTGGTCATTGACATCATCCTCTCTTCCTGCTACTGACCAAGGGGCCTTAACACTTCACAGATTGCAATATTTGTTTCTAAAATAAATAAATGATAAAAAGGGAAATGAAAGCAGGTAAGAAAAGTTTAACCAAAAAATAAGAAAAAACTTAAAGTTAATAATCACAATTACAAATTTTTAAAGTATTTACCAGAATTTCACAACATTCTTTCAATTCATCAGCACCTCCAGAAGGTGGATAACATATACCCACTTTGCACCTAAGGACACCAAAGTTTTAAGTAGTTCTTTGTCTTGAAGTTCACAGAGCAAGGAAGTGGCCAGTGTGGGGCTGTCTGGCTCTGAGTCTCATGGTTTGAACCATTATCACCAGATGTTTAGCATATTTCAGACGACAGATTATTTAAGAGCTTCTTTATTATTACTAATGAATTAATTCCTTGTTTAATTAACCTTGTGGATTTCTACCCTGAACAAAACACTGTGCTCAAAGACAGGAAATAAATGAATCTAGAAGACAGTCCCTACAGTGTCCCAAAAATCCAGGGAAATGGCTCACAGTAGAGAATATGTTGGGGACACCATGGAGGCTGCCAGATGCAGAAGCATACAGAGCAGCCACATCTCCCTCTAAGGGTGTCTGAAAGTGCCTATGAGGAAAGTCCCACTTGACCAGAACCTGAACAGAGAACAGAGAAAAGTAGCAATACAGCTATAAGTAGAGACAGATATAGAAATGGGTAGATGATAGACAATGGATAGAGTACAAAGGCAGTTCAGAAAACAAAAAAGCTAGAGGATAAGATGCATGTGGATCTCCACTTGCATCTGAGGAGATGTATAAATCACCACTAGGGGGGTAAATGGGAGATCAAATCATGCAGCGCCTCATGGAATAAACACAGGAGTATGGATTATGGTTGGCTGGATATAGGGGATGGATAAATGGATGGATGGGTGAACCGATGGGAAATTCAATAGGTAAATAGGTGTAACAGTCAGTAGATGAATGAATGGATGAATATTTTGATGACATATTAATGGGTTCATTATAGGTATGTTTGTGGGGGTGTTCAACCTTGTACCAGAAATCAGTGTGTGGGAGTGTTCTATCTGAAGCTCTAACACTAAGTCTATAATCTCAGTCAAGTCTATTAGCCTCTTTGAGGCTCAGGTTCTTGAATTTTTTTAAAATGGGAAAATGATCACCTGTTTATCCCACATATGTTTGTGAAAAGCGAGTGGGAAAACATACATAGAAATGCTTTGCAAAATGAAGTGCTTCTCAAAATGAGGGATTGTGCAGATGGTGATAAGGATGATGCATTGCCACACAGCTGATCTCGACCCCTAACTCGATCCCTATCACTAGGGGTATTCTGAAGATGCCGAGGGCTCAGCAGGCACAGCCTTGGGTCCTGGTCCAGGAATGATCGAGAAGGGACACTTCCCACAGGACCTGAGCATGTTCACCCTTTATTAGTACATCTTTGCAATACATATTGATTACACTCATTGTAGGATCCCAGGGGTCTCCAAGAACAGGCTGGGATATGCTAAACCCCAGTTTCAGCAGTCAGGATTGTCCATCATTGGATCAGGCCTGCCCTGTGTCTGCCCTTTGGATAAGGATCAGACTTAGTATGCTGCTTGGTTCAGCACTGCTGCCTGGCCAGCTGTCTGCAGGGGTGCTTCAGTCTCCACCTCCTCAGCCTGCCAGTGCCCCTGGGAAAGGTGGCTGTGACCCCCACTACCCAACTCTCTGTACACTGTAGCTCAGTCTGGCTTCTGACTATGGATGAGGGGGTCCCCAGTGGATGACAGAGTAGAGCATGTGCATTTAGCAGAACATGACTTGGTGTAGGGAAATTGGATCTCCTCTCTAGTACATGCAAAGAGCACAACCACCCCATGATCACACAGGAAAGAATGAGCTGGGCAGTGCACAGGGTCCCAGGACCTTGTACATTGCTTCACAAGTCAAGGCACCCCCAGTTTTCTGTACCCTAGTATCCACAGGACTACATCCTACTACATCCTAAACAGGCTTCATCCAGGCAAGCATGTGCTTGGTAATTGTGATTTGTCAACTTAACTTGAATAGGAACCAGAACCATGTAGTAGATTGGTACACTTGGGTATGTCTGTGGACAATTGACACATAGGTTGCACATAGGGTGAAAGATCTGCCCTGGATGTGAGTGCACTAGCCAATAGGCTTGCAGCCTGAAGAGAATAAAAAGGAAAAGAAGAAGGAAGTGCTTCCATTTTGGTTCTTTGGAGGAGTTCTTGTCTTCACCACTGCCTTTAGACATTTTTCTCTGGTTCCTTTATGTTTCCAGGGCAGACTCTTTAGCCTTCCAACACAGACCCTTCTGTCATGGGATCATAGTGAACTCTGCAAGGAGCTCCAGGCCTTCAACTTTTGACTGGATCACCCAACTCTACAGCATGCAGATGCCCATTTTTCTATGCCTGATTCCACAGATGGCCATTGTAAGTCTACCTAGTGAAACCTTTATATAATCATGTATATATTTTATGTTAAATCTGTTTCTCTAGTGAACTTAACTGATACAGATTTTGGTACTAGAGAAGCAGGGTTGTTACTGTGATACTACCTGTCCATGTGCTTCAGAAACTTTTGGAACTGGAGGAGTCTAGAATGTTTTGGAGATGTTGGCTGCTGAAGCCCTAGAATGCTGTAAGCTGAGCTTGATGGGAGATTCTGGTCAGAGCTGAGAAGGCCAGATGCTCATGAGCAGGCAGATTCATACCTGGGTGGGCTTTTCAACAATGCTGGAACTGTTAGGACTTTGATGACTCTTAGAGATGAAGTAAATGTGTTTTCATAAAGAGATGCATATGAATGTTTTGAAGACTACAGGTGAAATGTTATGGTTTATATCTGGATGTCATGAGCTCAAAAATGGGGCTTGTGGAAAGTGATTGGATTACAGTGGTGCTGCAGCTGGCTTGGTGTTGGGAGGTGGGTCCTGGATGGAAGATGCAGGTCACTAGGGGCATAACCTGCATGGGTGCATCTCCCTTCCTGAATCTTCTCTTCCCTCTTTGCTTCCTGGCTGCCATAATGTGAGTAGCTTTCCTCTGACCAGGCCTTCCTGCCATGCTGCTCCTATGCTGTGCCTGGTGAAGATGGGCTGAACTTTCTGAAACATGAGCCAGAATAAACCTCTCCTCTCTTAATTGGTTGGGTGTTGAGTACTAGAAATGAGAAAAAACTAAGACGAAGTGTGTGCTGCATTGAGTCAGTGGTGTCCTGCATGACCTTGCACATCCCAGTGAGGGAGGAAGGCTTGTAGCCCAATGCTACCATCTTCTTGACTTAAATTTTCTTGACTTCAGTCATGTTTTATGTGGCCTTGAGCAAAGCTGGACCTGAGCAGCCAGAGGGGGTGCAGAGGGGAG